CTTTCGGTGGTCCGTGGTGGTTCCTAGTGGTTGTTGAAGTCCTTTCCATGAACTCTTGAGTCTTTTTTTTTTATATAAGATCTTGTCTTGGCTCATCGTTCTGTCTGTAAAGTTTCTCAGATTCCTTATCTTTGGTTTCCACAGATGTCTGCTGGTTTATCTGCCCTCCCTGGGATGTACCTATCACAGTTGCAAAAATTATGTCCTCAGGTGCATTCCTGTCTGAGGCCCCTTACCTTCATGCCTGAGGCCCCTTACAACAGTTGGCATCAACTGCTTGCAGGCATCAGCTAGCAGGCATCAGATGAGAGGTGTTAAAGAAATGCTTGTTGCTTAGTTCTGTATTGGAGGTTGTAAGGGAGTAGGATTGCTTTTGTGAGAGGTTAGTTAGATCTGAAGTATTAAAGACCCTTTTGAAAAAAGTTAGTTGTTGCAGCTGTAGTTACTGTGTTAGGTCTACAGGGAAAAAAGATCAGCTGTTGTCCAGTGGTAACAGAGTATAAGATGTAAAAAGAATGTGTTCAGTCTGATTTTTGCAGACAAAGGTTATATATGCTTGAGAACAGGTGTATCTAATGATGTTTTCCATGAACCTATGAGTCATCTATAAATAAACATTTCTGAATATCTCTTTTTTTATTGAGAATGATTTTTGGAAGAGCAAATTCAGAGTAAAGTTGTTGTTTTTTTTTTTTCACAGAAAAATAAAATTATGTATGGTTTTAGTGAGCTTGTACGGAGGATTGGCTTATTGCTCTTTCCATTTAAAAATTCAGGATCTTGATTTTTCTTTCATTGCCTATATTATATTTAGAAGAAACATAATAAAGCACTCAGAAATGCAGCATAAAGCAGGAAGTCTGTATTCCATCACATTTTTTATTGTTTATTAGAACTAATTAGAACTGTGTAATTTAAATCACTTGACCTGCCTCTGTGATTCAATGCAGAGATTTCTGGTTTGGCTTACGCTGCTGGGAAGAAGACTGCATTTTGAGAAATAAAATTGATTTTGCACAATCTGCTGATCATCAGCAAGGCTTAATGAATGATATCAAGAAACCTCATTATAGTAATTTGGATGGATGAGCAGGAGTGGAATGCAAAAAGAAGAAAGTATACTTGGTGCTTGAATGCCTCCCTGATATTTGACTCTAAAACTATCGACAGCTAGCAAGGGAAAAGGGTCAGCTATCCTTGCCTTACTTTCCTTGAAACTTCCAAGTTAGTTTGATGCCTTTTGGGGAAAAGAAGATAAGTTTTTGATTTCAGTAGCAGTCGCTCTCTAGCAGAACAATGCAGTTGTTTCATTTGTAGAGGTGCGATTGTATCCAGTTCATAAATCGTGGGTGATTCCAATCCATGACTGTACATTTTGTTAAGTTCAGAGAAGTCATTGCCTTGAGGCTATGAATTGGATGATTGCTGAAGCCTTTTATTTATGTAGAATCTACTGGTTAGTTCCTGAGCAAAGGTGAGTCTTCTGGTCAGCCTGGTTTCAGCTGTTTGCATCACAAAACTTCTGTGCAGCTGACACAGTATGGTGTTCATTTAAGAGAAACTTTGGAATAAAGTGGGTGAGAACCAAAATGGAGTGAAAATGATAAATACAAAAACCTTGATAGGTTGATGTAAGTTTCTGAACACCTCTGTTGTACCGTCCATCCTAACCATCCATATGTTCAGTTTCAGGGGTGGATGTTCTCCAAATACCATCCTCTGTGCTTGCTTTCCTTTAGGGTGATGCAAGAGCACCCTGCAGTTCTTCAAAATAATTGAAAACAGGGGGGGACAGGTAGTTCTAGCTGCCAGTCTCTCCTCTCTTTTGTCTGAGTGACTGTCTTTTTTTCTGTCAGAACTGAAGCTTTCATTAGGACCTAGCTGGTTTTTCCTCTCCATGAGGAGATGATTCTGTAGATGTAAATAACAGCTGTGCAAAGGAAGATTAGGTCTCTGTTGGACTATCACCTCTGTAGTCCCATTTTCCATTTCTTGCTTTAGATTTTAGAAGCAAAACTGTGAAGTTCTTCTAAAAAGCAGTGGAGGATGGATGCCAAAATGAAAAATTGGGTTTCCTCCCCTCTTTTGCAATTTAGGATTTATTAAAATATGAATAATTTAGTGAACTCATGTTCCAAAATATATATATATATATTTTTTTTTTCAGAAGAAAAAATAAGGAAATGTGGCCTATGAATTAGAAGCTATTTTATTTTCTTAACCCAAGATGAATACCTTTAACATAGTTAATAGCAGATCTCATATACTAGTGCCTGTAATAACTATATTGGCTGTAGGAGAGCTACTCTAAATTTACTGCTTTGACTTGGGTAAAATTTGGTCCTTTTACTGGTAAAGGAGAGCTGTTAGTCTTGAGAAAGTAATCTTTTCCTGTGCTTGGAATATCCAAGGCATTTTCTCATATTATTTTTTTTTAAATAATACTGTTTTCATAATGCTTCTTCCCATGCGTAAATACTGAAGTGCATGCTAGATGAAAATATATAGGATCAGTGAAATCTATGTTTAAAACCTTTAGGAATAACTTCCTAATCTCCATACATCAGGAGATTTCAGGTATTAAATTTTAGATTATATTCTAATAGCATGCAGTGCTTGCTTTTTTGTGAGGCTAATGTTCCGGATTTTGCAATCATAGTTTGGCTGAAACTCCTGTCAAGTTGAATTCAGCAATGCATTTCCCAGCTAACTGTAATGAGTCAAAACCCGGTGTTTATCCAGTCTTGTTACACCGTTGCTCTGCAGTTTAACCAGCAGAGGATGTTAAAATCTGATTTCCCGAGTTCTGTGGGAAGTAGAGGCTCTGCTGCAGAGCAAGAGTTGAGCTATATAACACCTGGTCTGAATGCTTAATCTCAGGCTGATGACCCGTTGGCAGTAGAACATGGCATTCACTTGAGAAAGCTGCCATTCAGCTTGGTTAAGGATACAACTATTCCCCCAAATTGCTTCTCAGTTTTCGGGCTTCCCAGGGTATTTTAGAGTAAAGGAATCTAAGCTTTACTGCCAGTCCTCCTCTGATTTGTTTATAGGTCATTTAAACTCTTGGTGACTCATTTTTTTAATCTGTTATTGGGAATAATATTTGCTCTTCCTCATGGGACTATTGTGAAGTTTATTTCATTAGTGTTTATCGAGGACTTGGAGATCCTAGATGCCAGATGCCAAAGAAAAACAAAAGGTTGTTATTACCATTTTCTTGATTAAATATATGTATTCTTTTTCCTTGACACTAGCCTTACAAATGACTGCAGTCTTTCATATAATGAAATTTGCGTCAAATAATGACTGTAATAACTGAACAATAATGAGGAATAGAAGGCATTGCTTCCCTCTGAAACCAGTGTAATTTACATATACCACTCTGAGAGTCTCATAAATTATATTCTGCTTGGTCAGTCCACAGAGAGATTAATACTGGTTTGTTTATTGTAAAACGTTAGAAAACTTAACCTTTATGTCATGTGGGTGTGCATGTGTTTTTATATCTTCAGAAGATTAGTCTCGTTTGCAAGGTGGCAATCCAACAAAATTAGAGTTTTACATTAGAAATCACGCTTTGTTTTCCTGCTGGGCTCTGAACAATTCTTGCTCGATCTTATTTAACTTTAAAATCAGCTTGGCAGCCTTTCCTTAGTGTAGTTGATTTGAAGTTTTGCTGAAGAATTAAGCTTTCATTCCCAAAAGCCACTTCTTAATGCTGTGGTAAATCAAATGAAGAACCATGGGAACACATGAAGATCAAGCACTCAGTGTATAATGCATTCTTACATCTTTATCACATTTATGTATGCAGACTGGTCATTTACATTTTATAGTTGTTGCCACCGTGTGAGACAATGTCCGAGTTATGCGTGTCCATGCCCTCACTTGTGTTTTTCTCCTTCTAGTAGTCTGGCCCTATGTGTATAAAAATTAGTAATATTATTAACTATTTAGCATCACACAACTGTTAAAATGCATTTACACAGCTTTGATAAGCGAGGAGCAAGGTTGACTTCAGTGCACTTCACCAAGCACTGTTTCACAGCCATTACTTCCCTTAGAGTCTGGTAAAGTGATGGAGATGGGCTGGGAAGCTGTTGCTGTGTGTGTCTGAAGAGTGGAGATTTCAAGTCCAGGAAAGCCTCTACGGGGTTCCTTCAGCTCTCAGCATTTATTCCCTTCTTGAGAGTCGTCTTCGCCCAGTTCCATCATACCCGCCCCGTGTGCTGTCTCAGCACACCACACCCCCCC